TGTCCTGTGTTACTCTGTTCCTTGCCCAAAATGATGGAGCCTGAAGTCCGGGCCAGCCTCTCTCTCACCCCTGAGGGACATCTTGCCTTGGGGGCTCTCCCAGCCAGAGCAATCCCAGCTCACGTGCCACTTAAGCAGGCCTTCAGGGGAGCACCTCAGCAAAGCTGCTGTCCCCTCTACTCTGATCATGCTTCTACTCTGATCGCTGAATCAAAGCTGCCTCTGCACCATCTTCACTCCACTCCCCACTTCGAAACAGTTCTTGTGATAGCTTAACTCCATCTACCACCTTGAAACACCCCCACTACAAGCTAGCTTTTGAAAGAGAAATCAACATCTCGCAGAAACATGAGGGTCTTCCCAACATGGGAGATCAGCCAACAGGCTCCTCTCCATGCTTTATTATACCAGCTCCCCCAGACTGCCATTAGGGTGAGGATGACCCTCCCTAGGCACCGTGGGTGCAGGTCTTTTCATCTATCACTTTCCAACAGGGACAGTCACATCCAGAAGCCCCACAAGCAGTTTCTGTGCTCTGGACAGGAACAGCAGTCTCTCATCTTCCACCCTTGCAAGTCAGTACCTTGTTTGCCCACACACCCTCCAATCATCCTCAGCTTGAAAACTCACCTGTATTTGCAAATAAAATGCCCTGATCTGTGACATGACTGACACCCAAAGAGGCCTGGAGCACGGAGACTGGATTCCCCCTCACTGAACAGATAGTGGCAGCAGACAGCTCCAGTCTTCTTGGGGCTGCTGGGCAGCTGTGGCTGCTTCCTTGACATGAGCCTGTTTGCTCCTTATGGTTCCCTTCTATTTTCTGCAGTTTTCCATAACCCATTGCATCTTCTACTTCTCACCATGACCCAGATGTTGGATCATGCTAAATTGGTCTCCACTGCACAAAGCTGTGGGTTTTCCAATGAGATCACACACTCCAGGGAGGACATTAATAGGGACTAGGAAAGTAAAATCCTGGTAGAGACAGGGCTGAACATGTTCAGGACAGGCTGTGAATGCAACAGTGATCAACACTAAGCCAGCAACCAAACAGGCACAAGGCAGGCAAGGGATTTGAAGCAGAAGAAGCCTTCAGTCAGGAGGCAGCTAACAGGCCAATTGGTACAGCAGGATTAGAGACATCCAGGGAAAGGCAGCCCTTTCTGGGAAGCCCAAGTGAATACCCAGCTCAATGGGGAGGGCAAGACACTTGCCCATCAGAATGAAGATTACTAGACTAGCCCACCTTCACAGCCCGAATCAAATCCCTTGGAGAGAGAAAGGACCCCTTTACTAGATGTGACCCAAGAGGGGTTCAGTTCTTCAGGGCTCCACCTTCCCTTCCCCTGCAGGCTCCTCCACCTTGCCCTCCGAGACAAGCTCCTCCTCCTGCTCTGCAGAGCCTCCAGCAGGAGAAAGTGGCCCCACAACCCAGGTCAGGGGCATCTTCTTAATCACATACTCCAGCAGATCATCCAGGCACTCCTGGGCCTTGGTCAGCTTCTCCCTGCTCTGGCTCAGCAGCCCCTCAGGCAGCTCCTGGAAGGACGGGGCACTGGAGAAGGCAGCCTGGAGCTCCCCCAGGTGCTGGCAGCCCTGCTGGACCTGCTCCTGCATGCTGGTTGGCAGCCCCGGGATACTGGCTATCAGGCTCTGCCAGGCATCCTGCTCTTGCTGGAGGAGGGTCTGGGCAGTGGCCAGAGCCTGGGATCCCATCTCCTGCAGGGAGAGATGGAGCCAGAGTGAGAGAAAGCCTCAGCAGGCTCCCTAGGGGCAAGACTTGCCCCAGGGCATGGCCAGGCTGCTCCAGAGCAGGGGTACAGTCCTACCTCAGGCTGTGGGGTGCTGTCCCCCTCATGGCTTCCTGGCTGGCCCTGGCGCCACTCCAGCCACAGCTGCTGCAGCTTCTCCTGGCTGTCGTGCACCATCTGATCCCCAGTCTGCTTGGCTGAGCCAATCTAGGGCACAGAAGATCACATGACAAGGCAGGACAGTGCCAACACCCCCCAGCATCCTCCTCCACTTAGGCCGCCACAGATGCCTTCTGGAGCCAATGGTACTAGAGCAGAGATACCACCGGGCCTCACAGGAAGGCAGGTGCTCCCCAAGCAGCAGGCCCTGGACACTTAGGTTCCCAGGCAAGCTAAGGGCTAGGGAAGGAGGGACCACTTGATCCCATGCCCAAATGGGGCAGGGAGGGGACACCTGCACCACAGGGCCTTCAGGATCCTTTTGTACCTAAACCCTGCACATTCAGCCCCTGCCGGCACTCTTGTCCAGGTACACATCCAGGCTGGCCAGCTCCTGCAAGCCAACTCCTGCAACACCCTGAACCCTGGGAGGAGGAAGGGATGCTGCAGGAAGGGAGGCCCTACCAGGTCCACAGCTTGCTGCAGCTGGGCCAGGGCCTCCAGGGCGCTCTGCCTGGCACTCCTCATCTTGCCCAGGGAGTGCTGGTAGGCTCGCTGCTGCAGCCTGGTCTAGAGGGAGCCCAGGCACACATAGTAACTCTGCTGCTGCTCCAGTGGAGCCACCTCTGCCCCTTGCACAGAGGCAGCTGGTAGAAAGCAGGAGAAACCACCCCATCAGTGGGGGACCAGTCAGGACCTGAAGACTCAGGCCGGGGGAAGGGGTGGGGGGGGGGGGGGGTCAGGGCCCCTGAGGGAGCTTGTGAGGACAGTGAACCCATGGGAAAGCAAGTATGGCACAGTTGCCTTGCACTAGGGGGAGCAGGAGAGGGTGTAAGCTGGGGTTAGGGGGATGCCTCCAAAGCCTGGCACAGCCTCCCTGCCCCCAAGTGTTGAGGACCCCTCCACCCCAGTAAAACAATCCAACTCCAACCCAGCCCTACAAAGGAGCTTGCATAGTGTCATCCCGCCTGTGGGACCCTCAGAGGCGCTCAGGTAGCAGCCTCTGAACCACAAGTGCCTCCAGGCTCTGCTCACCATGGTGTAACTGGATCTGGTGCAACCTGGCCCAGGACACCCCTGTCCAGTGTTTGTGGCCACTTCGTGTTGCACTAACCCAACTGTACTGCTTCAAATAGCAAAAAAAGCAAAGGTCACCACTTCCTGCACAGCTTCTTGGCTGTGCAGCACTGCCCGCTGGAAGCAGTAGCCCTCCTGGAGGGAAGGAGAACAGGCTGGAATCAATCCAGCCCCTCACTCAGCTGCTCCTGGGACACATGGGGGAACTGGAGGACAAAGCGAGATCCCACAAGACTGGGAAAGGCTTTTCAAACCATGAAAGTCAGTAGCTTCAGTGACCACAAGGGCAGGATGCCCATTGCCCTGGTTATGGAGCTACCAGCTGCCAAGCTCCCCCTCCCTGGTACCAGTCTCCTCACCCAGCTCCTCAGCCGTCATGGGGAGGTAGTGGTCCACCCACTGCCCTGTCTTGCCCAGCGCCATGTCCAGGTCACTTGCAGCTTTCTAGCCCACAGACGAGCCCGCTGCAGCATCCACGCTGCTGGTCACTGCCAATCTGGTCTTCTCCACACCCTCCTGGACAGCCACTTTGGCTACATCCACCATGCTGGACACTGCAGCCTTGGGCCCAGCAGCTGTGCTGCAGACAGCATCCTTGGCCACTGCCACTGGAGCTGCGTGCAGGTCCTTGGCCTCTGCAGGCACCTAGGGGAGGGAGAGAGTTTTTACTGCATTGAAAGCACACGGCTGCATAGGGAAGACGACAGGAGCTGGGTAGAGGAGGGCCTGTCCACCTCCTTGAAGATGCTGCCAAGACTTCTGTCACCAATAACCTCAGGGCTGCCTCCTCCCGAGGCTCTACAGCTGGCACAGAGCCACAGGGCTTCAGAAAGGGCCCTCGCTCCCATGGGGCAGAGGGATTATTGTGGACATTGCCTCCCAACCTTGCAGCAGGAAGCAGAGCTGAACCAGGGCTGGCCAGCCCCCTGCCACTGCAGCCTCCAAGGCTTGTGGAAAATATTCACAGCCTTCACTGGTCCTGCCATTGAGTCTCCAGCCTTGTAACAAGCTGGCCACAGACTCATTGTGGAGGATTACACTCCCCAGTTTCTGCTCAGCTCCACTTACCCTCAACTGACTCCGTTTTCATGGCTACCTTAGGAACTGGGCCTCCAGTACCCTCCTCCTCCACATGGCCAGATAGGAGAACTGCCCCCAGTCATACTCAATGTTGAGCTCAACATTGAGTAAGTCAAACTGACACATGCTCACCTGTGGTAGGAGAATCCTCTCTAAGGTTCGTTGTCTAGCTGTAATTTGATTGACAGACAACACGGGTAAAGAAAGACAGCTGTTTATTTGCTCGAGCAAAGACCATAAAGCCAGCAAAAGGCAAAATGGCCCCCCCCTAAGGGTGAGGTGATCTTTTATACTTATTACAACAAGGCAAGACTTCATGGTTAACAAAAAAAGCAATACTTGGGCGGTGCTTTTCAAATCTTTGTAACAGCATATTTCTATTAAGCTGAACTAGCACTTTTTTAAAAGCTAAAAGTTAAGTAACAGTAACATTATAATATGTTAGCAAAACCTTACACAGTAGTAGATACTTCTCAAGGACACAACCAGTGCACCCAGAACAATGGTTTTTCTGTCTTATCTTACTTCTTGCTGTAGCTGATTTTTCAGCACACAGACACAGAGATATTTGCTGCTTTTAACTCAGAAAATGCTTAATACAGTTAAAATGATTACTTGACACAAGCAAAGGCTTAGCTATCAATCTGCCTTGTGGTCAGCTGCATTGCTAGGCCACAGGTCATGCCTTGTATTCAGCTGTAAAGCTAATACTTCTTAATAATCTAAATTATTGTTAACCTAACAGTATGCTATCAGAAAACTATTCTATTTCAGGGTAATAACAAACCTGCGCACTGCAACCCCACAAGAAGAGGATGTCTCAGGGTGGTCAGAGCCAGCCCTTGACTGCTCTGGGGCTGAGGGGGACTCATCCAGTCCCTCAGCTTTGCTGAGCAGAGCCCACTCCCTGCCAAGGGTGGGCCTGCTCCCCACTCTCGGCTCATAGCAGCTGGCACCAGCACCAGGCTGGGCTGCTCTGCAGCACGGTCCCCAATCCCAAGCAGAACCACACCAACCCCAGGCAGCCCCAGCACTGCAGTGTGCAGCTACCTCCTGCTCCTGCCCCTGGGGCTCAGAGATGGCAGCCTGGGGATCACTGTCCTTGGAGGCCATGGCAGGGGAATAGAGTCACTGAAAACTAGGAGGAAGCAGCAAGGAGCTGAGCAGGCAGCATATCTTCTAGTACCCCAGAGACTGCAGCTTCCCTGCCCTCCCCCCAGCATTTCCAGGAGCTACATAGCTGTTTGTACAAGTAGTTTCCTTGAAGTGGAGTGGGGGCTATCCTATGCATGCAGCCTGCTAAGGGTAGGACAGCCCAGCAGTCAGACAGTGGACCACAAGAGCCACTGCACCCCAGCACTCAGACCTGGCCCAGCCGCACTGAAGGCGGGGATGACAAAACCTCATTTCCAAGCCAAGTACTATTGCCTGGGCCTTTACTCCTGCTCACCAGCACAGCAAGTTGCTCAGGAGTCCACTGCATAGTAGGAAACCTAGGAGCAACAGCACACCCCACTGGGGTGCAGGGCCGGGACACACTGATGGGGAACACAGCCTCTGCACATGAGACAAGGTAGCCTCTTCTCATTGCTGCCCAGAGAGCCAGGATGGAAGAGCTACCTGCTGCCCCCACTCCTAGAGCTAGGAGGAGAGGGAAAGCCAACCCCTCAGCTCCCTTCTCTAGATCAACCGGGGTTTCCTGGTGGCCCCCCTCTCTCCAAGCACAGCCCTGCCTGCCCTCTCCACCAAGTCATCAGCACTCTTGGGAAACCTCAACCAACACTGCCTAGTGCATGAGCATAGGCAACTAGGCCATTACCTCACACCACAAGCTGAAGCACAGCCTGCCTCTCGCACAGGTTTTCCATGCAAAAGTAGGCACAGCCCGGGTGTGTATTGCATCTTGAGTGCAACAGCTTTCCCTCTTCCCAGGGAGCAAGGCTACCAAGGGAGACTATCCCCTTTAGGTACTAAGGCTCTTTTCTTGAGCCAGGATCCTGCTCTTATCCTAAGTCAAGCAGCAGTTCACCCAAGGAATTACTAGGGAGACTCTTTCCCAGTCCAAGGCACAGATCAGCTCTTTTTAGATTGGAAGAAGAAGAACTGATAACTTGCACCCTTAAGAGTTATTAATAAGGATTCTGCTGCACAGCCCAACCAATATCTTCTATAGAAAGGAACAGCAAAATAGACCTCACAAGAAATATTCTTACCCCAGAAACCAAGAAAAGCAACTGGAAAGAGATCAACACCTTCACAGGTCAGAGCAGACCACACACAACCCAAACACAAAATCTCTCACCATGCAGCAACGCCTGCCTCAACCCAGCCCTTATATATCTGGCATAAAGTCAGCAGAGGGCAGGGCCCACATGACAGACAGCTCTGCAGAGCAATCAGAAAGAGGTACTGTCTGTCCAGACCAATTAGCTGTTGCTCTCAAGGGGCCCTCCTCTCCTACCTGGCACAGTGATTACAAATTAATTAACTTTGCTTTCAGCCAGGTGATTAGCCTGGGTAACAGAACAGGGAGCTGCAAGAGTACACAGATCCAAAGCCTTCCACATAGTTAAGCCAATC